CAACCACAGTAACCTCAAGGCAAATAAATGAACAGAGATGTCAAATCACATATAACAGAAACTCCACAAAAGGCAAAGTTTACACAAACTCAGACAATGATAACTACCTCCTTATTTAAAATCCTGCTTCATGGCTGGCAAATTTTTTTTAACCTCAATTATAAGAGATATGCCATGTTCAGAAAGCATCCTGTATCCAGGAAGATTAAAACATGTGGAGGGGGTCTTAAAACCAAGAAAATGCAGTACATAGGCAAAGAGCAAGTTTATAACTTAAAATGAGAACCACAACCATCTGGAAAGTCACAGTATCTACAAAAGGAAAAAGTATATTTTTTCTTACATGGAAAGCCAGGCCAGTAGAAGGCTGCTTGTACACACGGGAATCCAAGTCTGACTGCCTGGTGCAATGTATCTTCAACATTTGAGTGAGTCTGTACATTACATTCTCTGGCAGACTGCATAGGAGGAGGGAGCCTTTTTCCTCACTTCCATTACAAAATGAGTTCCCTTCCAAGTGACTCAATCTTTCTTCAAATTTGTTTACTTTGACAGAGTAATAGTCACATCTTACTCTGTCCAGAGTCAGGTTTATTCCTGGTGATTCTGAAAAGCTCTGCTTTGATTCACTGGTAAGTATAATAAACAACTCTTAAGTCACGTGTCCTCCAGGTACACATGCACACACATAGTACCAATTGCCAATGAAGCAAAGATTTCTTTAAATACGAACATTACCGCCCTCAATTGCACTCCTGCAAACTAAAATAAAAACTGAAATTTATAGGACACAAAACAAGCTATCATCTAGTGAACTTTAAAGTCCAATAAAATGAAGAGTAAGAATTTGCTAATAATATTTATTTCATCTTTTGGTTTTGGATCTGAAACACTTCAGAAAATGAGGAACAAAGAAATGAAGAAAGACTCTATGCCCATAAAATTTATATTAAGTTCACAGACTACACAACAATTATTAGGTCCATAAACTAAACAATGAAGCACACAGAAAAGGGTAAAGTATATGAAATAGGCAGTGATGACAGACAGAAGCAGAAAAATGTTCACCTTTAGCCCAGAAGGCTGGTCTACAGCCTGCATAGTTCCGATAAGGATCAAATATGGACTGGTTGCTACATTCTTAAACGGTCTCATGACTGCTTGTATATGTCACACAGAGCTAATATCAAGCTGAATGATAAGCACCAGAGAAATCTTGTGAAAGTAGTTTTATGAGCAGAAATTTTAAGAGAACATTTATGATCTAATACTCCCTGCAAGCCCCCTCCCCCTTGAGCACTAAGCATCTGCCCACCAGCTTCACACTGCAGAGTGCAGCTCTTTCTGCCCGCAGGTCCTGTCCCCGTGCTAAATAAACTTACTCTGAGTTGCACAGTAAAATGTCTCATGTGTTCTTTCTTAACCCTCACGGCACACTCAGTGATCATGCAACAGGCAGTCCCTGACTTAAGGGCAATCATATAGATGAACACTCACTGTGGCACTATGAAGTTTTTTCTATCCTGCCAAAACACCACCTGCAGTAGATAACCACTCACATCATTCTGAATCATTCCCTGCCAGACTGCCTTGGGCCTCCTACCTGAACCTCTGCTGAGCCAGCTGCCTCAACCCTGAGAGCTTCCACCTAGCCAATTTTCTTCTTCAGTTACCAAGACTTGCGTATTTGCATACAGTATTACAGTTAAAAGGAAAAAAAAAAAAACACACACGAAAATCATTGTGAGCTAGTCTGGAAACCAAACCAACATCTCTGTGAGTATAAATCTGAAACTCTGAATCACCAGTTTATATTTAAATTTCTGAAATTCATCCTATTCTAGAGTTTGACTATACGCAAACAATGAATCATGGAACACTACATCAAAAACTAATGATGTAATGTAAGGTGATTAACATAACATAATAAAATAAAATAAAATAGTTTGACTATAAATATATCCAGCCTGAAAAACAAGCCCAACTAATCTCCTTGCTGTGAATATTTACACAGTTAAATTAATATACATTTAACAAACAAACTTCAAAATTTCAGTTCTAGCTAGTCTAGGAAAGGTTGTAAAAGGTAAAATAAGCACCATGCTGAATAAAATTCTCATCTGACTATCAACACAATTTAGAGGCCCCATCTCTCTGATGCATCTCTCTCTCTATAGAATCAATTTTTAGGAATTCAAATATGAAGTTATATAAGAAGCCCAGGTGACTGAAGAGTCTCTGACTCAACTTGCTCTAAACTTTATAGTAATGATTGATGAGATTTGGGAGACTGAAGGGTAAGAGAATATGCTACCACAAAATAAGCCTCTTTGGTATAAGGATTATTTTAAAGAGACTGAAAAACAACAGACCCAGGAGAAGCTCTGAAAACAGAGTAAACGTTATCCTTTTGTAAGGGAAATTTACATTTATGAAGGAAATCTCCTTTGTAAAAGTGTCTCCCTTTCAACACCAGGAAAAGGCTGACTCTAAATCATAAGAGAATATTACAAGAGAATCTTATCAGTGGAGAAGGCACACGGACTTAAATATGCATAACAAACTCCTTGTTTACCATGATTTTCCTGGTAACCTCCCATAATGAGCCGCTCCCAACCCCACCCTCACTTTCTTTGTCTTTAGCACAAGAAGGTATTTAAATCCACATTCTAAACCATCTCAGAGATTTGCTCCCTTCTCCCAGGGTATCACCCACGTATACAAGACTTAAGCATGTTGAACTTTTGTTTGTTTTTCTCTTATTAAATATCTCTTTTATTAGAGGTCTCGGCCAAGAACTCAGAAGGGTAGAACGATTATTTTTTCCCCTCCCTACAGGGTTCTGCCCTCAAAACAGCCTGGTGTAAGAATTCCCAGACTGTAATGGGGAGGCATACTGCCCATCAGCCACCACTCTCTAACCTAAATCAGCCCATCGAAACAACTCCTTCTTTTACCACAGCTGGCCACTGCCCCATTTTTAAAACTTCAAGAGCCACATATAATTTTTATGAAGAAGCCGTTTTGGCTGCTTGTTTCGAATGTTTATAGTTAATATATATTTAACAAATTAAAACGTTTCAGATCTACCTACCATAAAGTAGGTAGCCATTCTTAAAAATATTTGCAACTTTATTTGCTTTTCTCATTAAGTTTACTACTGAATTGGAAGACTATTAAATATTTAAGACCTAAATTCTTGGTTTACAGTGTTCAATAACAAAAATTCAACGGAGTAAATTTTAAAGATCTAATTGGCTTTATTAATCAATTCACGCAGCATCCTGTCTAGCAAGTAGGGGGGAGCTCCAAAGGACTACAAGAAAGGAAATGTTTTTAAAGGTAGAGAGGGGGTGGAAAAAAGAAAATTATTAGCAAAGAATCCATTGTTTTAGGCAAGGTCACCCTTCTAAGGGGAACTGAAGGGATCTATCAGATTTCCTAGTGCTGACCAGGAAATTCTCATGTTGACTGGTTTAAGGTTACATTTTGGGGTGGGGGTGGGGGGCTGAAACTGCAGTTAGGTTAGGTATAAGTCTTGGTTTACTGACTTGGTGCCTTGACCTAAGTGACACCATTTTGGGCCTATGGGTTCCTTTTTAAGAACACTGTCCCCAAGCAGAAGGTTACATATTGGTTCCTGAAGATATCTTCAAGACACCAAATATGTGAACTAGTAAAAAAACTTTGACTTGAGCCCAGTTAAATCAGGAAATTAAAAACTGCTAAATATCAACATTCATAAAGACTGCAGCATATTATATATATATCACACAAAAAGTAAATGTACAGAATACTAAGGTTATGTGCAAATATAGAGTCAAGGAATTAACATTTGTGCTTTCAAAGTTCAAGGCTAGACTTTAACATTCAAGGGTTTTTATTTTTAAGACACTTGCAATAAACATAATAATTATGGAGAGTAATAAGATAATGGAGTACAAATGAGAAACAAGCCGCATCACTTTTACCTCAAATTTTGAGACTGACTGAGAGTATTTTTTAAGTAACTGAATTTCAATTATATTATGCAAAGTACCCAATTCAATTTCACAATGCAAAAAGGTTTGGATTTAATCAACAGGTACATTTACTATTCAAAGGAATTGCTACAATCTCCTTTTACTTATTCATTGGGAAAAAAAAGTTCTATTGTCACTACTATGACAGTGTGGCTAAAGCACTACTCTATTAAAGAGACATTCCTAAATCAGTTTGCAAAAAAGCTAGTCAGGGTAAAATGTTTATGTCGATAATATCGATAAATATCAATAAATATCGATAAATCGCACAATATCAATAATATCAACATAAGCTACTCCCCACCCCAGCATTTCTGTAATCCGGGGAGATAGCTCAAATTCTTAACTGAGTGCTACTACATTGATTAATCTCTGGCTGATGCTCGGCTGTAGGATCCATCTGTTTTATTGTATCCCAAGTTCCTAACACTACACCTTATACTCCACACATTCTCAAAAGACATTTATTGAGGGGTGCCTGGGTGGCTCCATGGGTTAAGTGACCAAACTCTTGGTTTTTTTTGCGGGAGTCATGATCTCCCAGCATGGGCCTCCACGCTCAGCACAGAGTCTGCCTGTCCCTCTCCCCGCCCTCTGCCCCTTTCCCAAATCATGCACTCTCAAAAAAATAAAATCTTTAAAGAAAAAAAGACACTTGTTGAATGAAGTCAACCTTGCAATTGGCTTCACTGTTTACTGGTGCTCTTCCTACTCCTATTCCTACTTCCTATTTCAAACCAAATATTAAATTTGAAAAATCCCTGAAATTTCTTGTAGACTTTTGAAATTTGTCTATTTATGAAATTTTGAAAAAAGCCAGGAATGAACTATATGATTTTTTTTCAAGTCTATTTCAAAATGTACCAAGGCTACACTGAAAAATCTGCCCTTTGCCTTTTAAATTTTACCTGAAACATAAAATTCATAAAATCTAAGGTAATTCTAATTTAAAATCACATTTTAAAGCACTGGACTTACCATTATAGGTTATTCTTGGCTTTGTTAAACACATCACAAGATGCAAATCCATTTCATCTGAAGGTACAAATTTTGAGCATACGGGGCACTTAAATCCTAAAAAGTAAAAGAAACCCATTTTACTCAATTATTCTGATTATCCAATTCCATTTTTTAAAAAAGCATCAAAGACAAAAAGCATTTCAAATTTCAGTATTATTCTTACAGTAATACACTACTTAATTGCAAGTTAGGTTGGGGAAAGAGTTTTGTAACTATAATAACTGATTTCAATCAATTTACAAAGACCATCCCATTTCAAATGAAACAAGTACAAATGAGAAGAATTAGGCTCACTATGAAACTCCCTATCTTTTTCTAACGTATGGGTCCAATCATTCTTGTTTCTAATTTTTTACATTAACCTGAACTTCTGAATTTGTGGGAATTACCCTTCCAGCTTAGTAGGGCACAATTTGAGTCACAAGGTTTTACAGCTAGACAGTACTTTAGAAACTATTCTACTCCGTGGACCTTTTAAAAATTATTCTGAAATTGGCAAAATCAGGTCTAAAAGCTAAGACTCCTGTCTTCCAGTAGTGATCTTTCTCTTACACTATGCTACTAAAGTCACAATGCCAACCAAAAATGGCATCAAATAGGGCAGATTTCCCAGTCAACTCTGACACTTAAATATTAGTTTCCTACAATATTCAATCTGCACTATTTGCCTCATGTAGTCTATTAAAAATAAAGTGGTATACTGAACGAGAGAATAGGCTATATATTCAGCTCTATCCCACTTCCTCACTTACCAGGGGACCCGTCCTATCTATGGTTCCTTACAGTTGCCCTGCTGCCCTACTTCTCCCTCTCTGACTTCCCGAAGCAGATGGAGTAGCACTGGACACCTGATTCAAGACAGCCAATTTATAGTTTGGCTAGGAACAACAAACCAGAAGCGGCACAAAAAGATGGTCTGGGCCAATCTGTTTTTCTTGGAAATATGACAAGAAACAGCAAGAGAGTACACTTGCCAGCTGTAAAGAGCTGAGGCAGAAAGGGCACATGTAGGTTAGAGAGAGACCAGCGGCTCTGTAAGCTGAACTTAGAAGAGAACAGAAACTAAGAGCCAGCAGAGGAAAACGGTTTGCATGGAGATTGAGGAGCAGATGTGCAGAGAGGAGCAGAAGTGCCGTGAGAGACAAAAGCTAATAAGAAGGTTAGTGAAAGAAACCAGTCCCTAACGCTGCCTCCGAGTCTGACAGCTCTATACTTCCAGCACATGTGTGTTCTTAGAGTCCATTCATTGGGACTTGAAACTCACTGTGACCAAATGTGTCAGACTAGAATCACGCTTCATGCAGAACTTTATACAAATCAGGAAAAGGTTCTGGCATGGGTACTTAATCCAGGTATGATTTTGAACACTGTTTTGACATTGTAGTAAATGCATTTTAAAAGCAAAGAAAAAAGGTATGTTTACTTCCCCTTCTTGAAAACCACCAAAATGAAAACGAAGAAAGAGGAAATTCATTTAAAATGAAACTGTAAACTAGCTATAATCCCCAAATACCAATATAAGGAAATTTAAGTCAAATGGGGAGAAGACAGAGACTCTCAAGTAGCATTCATATTTCAAGGACCAACAATCTTTTGCTTGGAACTGTAAAAAAAAAATTCTTCCCTTGAAGTTAAAAAGGGCATAAAAGAAGAAAAGAGGCAACCAATTTTCTAACTATTGATCAGAATCATCTGATAATAAATGTGATCATAAACTCTAAATTATCAAAGTACAATACTGTGAACTACTGAGAGCTATCCAACTGCTCACAAAGTAGAGCCAAAGGAGAGAAAACTTTGTGCAAAGAACCACCTGGATTTCTAGTTAAATACAATAAATTAATGTGTTTCTTTCTCCTCCCATCTAAAATCCACTGAAATGAGAACAAAATAAAAATAAGATAAAGAAGAACTTGAAAGAAGAGAGCAGATGAGAAAACAGACATCCCAAGTGCCTGTGGAAGTCAATCAATTCTCACTACCTAATTCTCAAAGGACTCCAAAATCTATACCTCCAAATGACTTCCCAAGACAATGGTGAGGCATGAGGTTAAAATCTAGATTGATTCAGGCTGGAAAAAAAAAAAACAAAAAACAAAAAACCCTAGATCCTCAATCCATGACATACAGCAACTACAAGAAACTACAGTTCCCCAACTATAGCAGGAGAATGAAGGCTAACTATAAAAGACCCAAAATAGAGTGACTTGAGGACCCCAGGCACAGCAATGGGAAGGGAAGAAAACACAGGAATAAAAGATCTATGTACAGGGGCGCCTGGCTGGCTCAGTCGTTAAGCATTTGCCTTCAGCTCGGGTCATGGTCCCGGGGTCCTGGGATTGACTCCCACATCAGGCTCCCTGCTCGGCGGGGAGCCTGCTTCTCCCTCTCCCACTCCCCCTGCTTGTGTTCGCTCTCTTGCTGTCTCTCTTGCTGTCTCTCTCTGTCAAATAAATAAATCTTAAAAAAAAAAAATCTATGTATAGAAAAGGGCCCGTCTGCCAATTTCCTTTTTTCTCTTTACCAAGAAACTGGTAGATTCTTCTCTTAAATCAAAAGGTCCCACAGAATAAAACATCAAGACCCCTGTCTATGGATAAGCCCCAGCCTTAAACAAAAAGCTTCCAATCAGCTTCTCAGGGCCTCGCTCATAAACATAATGCAATAAAAGAAAAAAATTTGCATGGTTAAAACACAACACAGCAGAAGCAAATCCAAAAGACATAAATATTTACAACATGTATTACAAAAGGACAATATCCTTAATACAAACCCAATCTGAAAAGGCTACACACTATACGATTCCAACTATATGACATTCTGGGGGAAAAAAAAAACTATGAAGAAAAAGATCAGTGGTTGTCAGGGGTTGGAGGAAAGGGAAGGATAAACAGGTGAAGTATAGAGTATTTTTATAGCAGTGAAACTATTATGTATTGTAGATATATACCATTATACATTTTCCCAAACCAATAGAATGTACTACAGCTAGATGAACCCTAACATAAACTATGGACCTTGGGTATTAATGATGGGTCAATCTAGGCTCATTAACTGTAGCAAATGTATCACTCTGGTGCAGGATGTTGATAGTTGGGGAGGTCACATGTGTGTGGGGATAAGGGTTATATGTGAACTCCTGTACTTTCCTTTTAAATTTTGTTGTGAACTAAAAGCGCTCTAAAAATAAAGTTTATCAGTAAAAAGTTAAAAAAAAATTCTTAAAAAATTGTGGGAAATCAAATACCAGTTAGAAAAATGGGCAAAAGTTTTAAACCAGTATTTCAGCAAAAGGATATTCAACTGACCTTTAAACAAATGAAAAACTGCACAGTGTCAGAACTGAAGAAGCACCTTCCTCTTAAGTTCTTTTTTATTCCCATTTTAGTGGGTTTTAGGAGGGAAGAGAAAACACGTATTTAATTCACTTTATTTAACTAGAAAGCCAGGTCAGTTCTTTGTACATACCACTTTCTCTCCTTAGGCTTTAACTTTATCTCTACATTAAGATATCGCTACTTACCCCAGATTGGCAAAAACTCAAAAGCCTGACAACATACTGTTGGTGAAGCTGTGAGGAAACAGGTACTTTCATACATTGCTAGTAAGAATACAAAATTTTACAAGCTCCACGGAGGGCAATTCGGCAATATCTAACTCGATTACATATGTCTATCTTCTGATCCAGCAATTCCATTTCTAGCTTCTCACCCTGAAGGTATGTCCCCAAACCACAAAAAGCCCAGGCACAGATAGATGATTCTGAGGAGACGGTGGAGCAGGAAGCACTGGCAGAATTGTCCTCCCCCTCCCCACTGAAATAATGGCACTGGTGGCATCTGAGGGAACTCTTTTGGAACTCTGGAGGTTATTGAAGGCTTGCAACTTCCAGGCAGAAGACCTGGACAGTACACCGTGGTTAATTTCAGCTCTGAGCACAGTGACAGCCACCCTTCCCACCACACTCCACCCCCAGCCACATGACAGGCAGCAGTTACTTCTTCTTCGAGCAGCTTAAACATAGCTTGCAGGAACCAGGCTGGGCTAGAGGACTCTATCCTCCAAATGCTGGGACTTTGCACTCTGATTGCTGCTTCCGATCCAAGAGGTACAGACACAGAGAAGGGTAGTCATTGCTGTCAGACCTTCTCCATTGTAAGCCTTCCCACTCTAGCTGAAGAAACCTCAAGGGGATTTAAAGGGCCTATGCCCTTCGCCCACCTTTATTTCTCACTTTTCCCCCTTTTGGGAGCCCAACATTAAAAGACTAGGAGATTAAAAAACAACTATACATACAGCGGAAATTAGAAAAACTGTGTATACCCAGGTAGGTCTCAGAGAAGACCATACGTTTTTACTTCAGGCTGATGATCCTCATCAGAGACAACCTATAATACCCCCCAAAAAAACAATAATAAAAAATAGCAGACACTGGGGAAGGGGGAAAAGCTGATTTCTAAAATTACATTATTAGATTCGAATAACCAGTTTTCAGCAAAAAACAAAACAAACCCTAAGCATACTGAAACATACAGAAAAAAAAAACAAAACTCTAAGCATACAGAGAAGTATGGCCTTTAAAGGAAAAATAAAAAAATAAAACAGAAACTGTCCCTGAAAAAGGTCTGATGGCAGATATGCTAGCCAAAGATTTAAATGCCTAGCTTAAAGATGCTCAAAAAAATAAAGGAAGATGTAGAGAAGGTCAAGAAAATACGATCAAATATGAACAAAATGGAAATATCAATAAATAGAAAACCTAAATAGAAACCTAAACAGAAACCATAATAAACCTAAACAGAAACCATAAAAAAATTCTGAACCTGAAAAGTATAATAACTGAAATGAAAAATTCACTAGAGCAATTCAAAGGCAGATTTGAGCAGGAAGAAATAATCCATGAACTTGAAGACAGAACAATGGAAATTATCATGTCTGAGGAACAGAAAGAAAAAAAAAAGACTGAAGAAAAGTGACCATAGCTTAAGGGACCCATGGGACACCAACATGCAGAGCAACATATGCACTGTGGGAGTCCCAGAAGGAGAGACAAA